AAAAAAAGCAGCCTTTATGAGCATAAGAGACTTATTTCAAAAACATTAAAAAACGTAATTAATCCAAACTTTGACCCGTATTGCAAATATTATTATAATTTAACTTTTAATATTACATTTGTTATATTAGTATAATATTACAATGTTGCGTTCTTTACTTGTTATATATAATACTCATTACATGTGATATTACAATATTATGTTCACAAATGTCATTGAAACATAATTAAGAAAAGAACAGGTTATTAGTTAACCTAGTCTAATTACTGAACAGTACCATAGTAATCATTTCATGTTTTTACATGTCATTGTTTGGCATTATCTATTGCATCAGATTACTAATTACTTCTAAATTTCATTAGACCTAGTCAATTTTGCAAATGCAGAGAGTATTATAAATACGTGCATATTACAGCTTATCAGATGTACCATAATGCATTTGTAATTTGTCAGTAAGTGCATGCTATTACTTAGGAATACAATGTCTCCATTCATATTTATTTACATAAACTCATGAAAAATTGTCAGCTGCAATTACATGTGTATTATTAAAAAAACAATGTTTTTTCAATGTAGGCTGTATTCAGAAAGAAGAAGTTCCAGACCCCTCTGAAGCCCTTTACATCAGGGTACAAGTTGGAGGACTATGTGATTGGGAAACAGATCGGGAAAGGTTGCAATGCAGCAGTGCATGAGGCAGCGGCTCCGTTCGGGGCCCCTGTGGAGAGCGGGAAGTATTCACTGGTGGAACTGAACCAGAAAGAAACAGATGATGACAATAAGAAAGCAGGACCGCTTAGATTTCCTGCTACACCCAGCTTTCCTTTAGCTATAAAGATGATGTGGAACATTGGGGTGAGAATTTAGACCATTTTAGCATTATTCTATTTTGGAATAAAGGAATTATTTTGGATTTTGTGTAGAATGCATATACGATACAGTATTCCAGAATACATCAACAGCATTTTTTAATGAACATTTGATACTGTTCAATAGGCTGGTTCATCAAGTGATGCCATCCTTCGCTCTATGTCCATGGAGTTGGTTCCTGCATGTCCACAGGCCCTAACAAAAGAGCAAGAAGAGATTGCTTTGGATGGGTGAGTTCATATGTAGATTTTGTACATCATGGCCTTAAAATAGACTGAATCATTGCCAATGGCTTTACTATTTTTACAGCCACTTTGGAACTGTGCCTAAAAGACTGACTGCTCATCCCAACGTGATCACAGTGTACCGGGCCTTCACTGCTGAGGTCCCGCTGCTGCCTGGAGCTCAGGAGGAGTATCCTGATGTCCTGCCTGCCCGACTCAATCCACAGGGTTTGGGCAGTAATCGCACACTGTTCCTGGTCATGAAGAAGTGAGGAATCATGAAA